AGATATCTGAATAAAGGGAAAGCTAACTAGATATCTGAATAAAGGGAAAGCTAACTAGATATCTGAATAAAGGGAAAGCTAACTAGATATCTGAACAAAGGGAAAGCTAACTAGATATCTGAATAAAGGTAAAGCTAATGAGATATCTGATTAAAGGGAAAGCTATTTACAGTTAAAACCACATCGAAAGAATGTACCAAATGTCGTCTTCAATGGGTTTTGTACTATAGGGTGTCCCAATAAACATGGGAATTCAGTGACGAATTCGATATCGTCTTTTTAAAAAACTCTTTGATTTAGTGTAGTGATACTATGTTTTGACTGCACATACGGGTGTACTTATGTAAAACAAGAAAATTGCAGTATACAAACAGAGTAAACTGGTCCGTCTTCACTGTTCATCTTGCGGAGACATTATAGACACATCTTTGCAGTCTTTTACCCTTTTCATAAAATAAATTCTAGCAGACATTATGATATTATGGCGTTAGAAATTAGGTATTACAATGCTAATCTATAACAAAGACGATATCCAATTCGTCACTAAATTCCTATGTTTTTTGGGACACCCTGTATTTTACGTAAATCTCAGTATTTATGAAAATAAGTAAATAGCCATGAATATGCGGGAACAGTTTTAAAGAGTCCCATATAATCATTTAATTAAAAACTAAATATCTGCAACATTCCAACATTAGAAATTGAAGAATACGACATTTTATGAATTCTTTCGATGTATGGCTTATTTAGAGTTTAACTGTAGATGTCTGAATACAGGGAAAGCTAACTAGATTTCTGAATAAAGGGAAAGCTATCTAGATTTCTGAATAAAGGGAAAGCTAACTAGATTTCTAAATAAAGGGAAAGCTAACTGTTTATCTGAATAAAGTAAAATTTCCTAACTGGATATTAGATTAGATAATGATGTTAAAACCCTCAAAATATTGAAAGTTAATCTCCCAAGTGTTAATCCCACACATAAAAAAATAATATTGTATTTCCATCAGACAATAACAAAAATAAACAATGAAGACGACAATGGTTTTACTCTTACTGGGCTTTATGCTTCTAGGTAAGAAAACCTTATAACATCTAAAGCCTTTCATGCAACGAAAAATCTCAATATTGAAAGCGTCTGGTCTCAATGTTTTTGAGCTCTATTTATAAAAAGCTATAAGTGTCATTGCGCTTATTATTTTTATGATATGTTTTAAGAAATGTTTAATTTGTAATTTATAAACTTGTTTACTATGGTCTTCCAAATCCAATAAAAAGCGAATTAGATTTTTTTCTTTTAAAAGTCGCAGAACGACATACATTACAAATATTAAAAAATATTACAGATGACAAATATAAAAATATTTAGCTTCATGTCTAATTTAGATATTAATGAAAGCAACTTTTGTTTTGCTTTGATGCGGTTAGTAAATATGATTGTACAGGGTGTCTCAATAAACAAGGGAATTAAGTTACGACTTCAATATCGTCTTTGTTCCGTGCAGCATTATTACGTAATCATAATTTTAGTAGCTTTCAATTTAAAACAATTTACATATGAAACTGCTATAGTCTCGGGAATTCCAAAATGTGGTCCACCATTTTCGAACCTTGAACATTTACGGAGTTATCGAGAAATCTGCCCAGATTCCCTATTATTTAATAATGAAGTTTTTCTTTCAAAGTAAATTTCAAGTATTTAAGGCAGACCATATTTTAAAGAGTTCAAAAGACATATAACCTTTAATTGTATGACACACTTTTTGTCATTTAATCAAACATCGGAACATAAGACGATTTTCAAATTTTCATGTATATTGGGACACTCTGTCTACAAGGGCGTAGTCAGGTATTTGTCCAGGGGTGGGGGCTTACATTTTTTTCCAGTGGGGGGGCTCCGCATTCGTTGGGGCCTGAAAACCCCTGAAATCAAAAGATTGCAATGGTCCAGAGGGGGGCATATCCCCATAGTCCCCCCCTGACTACGCCTCTAGGGGTGGATATTTGCTACCATTGAACCGAACAGCCATTTATTTCTGAGTTTTAAGTTAATTGTGATGACGGGGAGGTCGTCGTTGAGAAGGAGGTCGAGGCTGGGAACAAGACCGAGGATGAAACCTCGGGGGTTTTGCCTTCAGAATGCTTCCTATGCAACTGTCCCAAGATATATGCTGCAAAGGTAAAAACGTTGAAATGATTTTATTTTCAAATTTGCCTTGTTCCAAAAATGTATAGAAAACAAATATTTTTATAACTAGTTATAACAATATTACTTTGGTTTGCAATGCCATAAAGTATTTGGACAGTTAAATGTATTTTTTCTTTTATGATTATTTGGTTCCGAATTTTGCAACCCCAAAATAAAATCTAAAAAGGCGAGAATCTGACTGACATAGAGAAAATTAAAATTTAAAAACTTGATAACATATCGTGCCAAATTACTAGTGTTATGAGTCATTTTATGAAATGTTTGTGCAACTTACTTGATGCAATGTTTTTTCTAGATATAATCAGCTTTTAAAAAACAGAAATAATAAAAATAAAGTTGATTTCAATTTTTGTTTTATCAAAATCCGGGAACCTATTAAACTTCATAAAACAGTGATATAATATACTGCTAAAGTTATAGCACGATTTTCCACGTCTTTAATAAAATTTACCATAACTTTTTAAGTGTTGAATATGTTTTAAACCAATATATTTCTTTAAATTAACATAAATACATACACCTGATTAATGCATAGTTTACATAGGAAAAATTATAAATGTTTTTACATGTCTAGACCATAAATAATTCACGGATAGTCTTTGGTTTGTTAAACAGAAAAATCCTACCTAAGTGTGATATAGCAAAAATTAAAAATTGCGCATTCCTAAAAATAATTAAAAAATAAAATGAGATAAATATATACTTTTTTAATATCTAATTATTGACAAATATTTAGTACGAAAAATGAGTGTATACTCAAACTAGAAAAAAATATTTTTGGTTGAAGAAATTGAGCCTTTCCCACAAATCTGAATTTGCACAACGCTATATTTTGCGATCTGATGGTGTAAACCATTTATATATCAAACACCAACTAAATTGATAGTTTGAATTATCTAAGATCTACGACAAAGATATAGGGATAATCAAAGTTTGTTGCAAAAAGACTATTTCTAATGTTTATAACTAATTACTGATATATATTTTAGTGCGGAAGTGATGGTAAAACTTATCAGAATGAATGTATGATGGAATGCGCTAAGGAAACCCACTTGAAAATTATCTAAAGTTTTCAATTAAAAAATTCTTTAACTTTTGTTTTCATGACGAATTTTTTTAAAACTTAAAGCAATATAACTTAGTTTTGTTAATTGCTAAAAGCTGAGCATGGTTCTAGAAAGGAGTTGTAAGAATTCTAAATTTGGCGGATAATTTGTATGTTCACAAACTTTTGACAGTCAGGATGGATTTTTGTGACTAAAACTACAGATCTAAAAACTACATTTTTGAAAAGCCCTTGAAAATTGGACTTAGAAAAATGTGTCACATTTGATATTGTCTTTAAAAAGGGGTGTTTTTTAGACATTTTTCGACCCTTATATGGCATTTTTTAACCCTCTCTAGCACACTGCAAACTATTAAAGTTATCGGTTGAAATAGGGCTAAGAACATGCATTTCAACCCTATACATATAGTCCTTTTCTGGGGAGGGGGGCGTGGGACGTCCCCAGGCTATACATAGATTCAACCCCCCCCCCAGAAAGTGTTTACGAAATACGAATGAGGGAATAGACTATAATTTCTCATTAGAGTAAGTTCAGATCTAAGTAAGATTGGTATCAATCGAGTTTGAATTAGATTTGAATTCAGCTTGTGCACTCTTTCATTTTCACGAACACTCCCTTCAAGACTTTCTGGATGAATATTTGAGAATTGAAAAGAGGGTTGTTTAGGAGAAATGTCCAGATTTGACCAGAGATCTTAGTTTAGACGCAAGGAACATCAGGAGTGGTCCTTGCTAGATCTGCATTCCCTTTATTTCAATCTTGCTTTATCAATCCTTACATTACCACATTTCTAAACCAATCCCTTTATTGCCACATAACCAAACCAATCCTTACATTGCCACATTTTTAAACCAATCCCTACATTGCCAAAATAACTAAACCAATCCCTACATTGCCAAAATAACTAAACCAATCACTACATTGCAATATTTTTAAACCAATCCCTACATTACCACATAACTAAACCAATCCCTACATTGCCACATTTTTAAACCAATCCCTAAATTTCCACATTTCTAAACCAATCCCTAAATTGCCACATTCTAAACAAATACCTACATTGCCACATTTTTAAACCAATCCCTCCATTACCACATAACTAAGCCAATCCCTACATTGCCACATTTCTAAACCAATCCCTACATTGCCATATAACTAAACCAATCCCTACATTGCCACATTTCTAAATCAATCCCTTAATTGCCACATTTCTAAACCAATCCCTTAATTGCCACATTTCTAAACCAATCCCTTTATTGCCACATAACTAAACCAATCCCTTAATTGCCACATTTCTAAACCAATCCCTAAATTGCCACATTTCTAAACCAATCCCTTTATTGCCACACAACTAAACCAACCCCTTTATTACCACATTTCTAAACGAATCCCTTTATTGCCCCTTGATAAAACAAAATTGCAATTATTTTCTACTTATTTATTACTGTTTTATATATTTTTATAAATTGGTTGATTACAATAAAAGCTATTATAATCTGTAGAGTATTTATTAATATTTAAAGTATTTTAAAACCTTTTTAACAAATCAAATACGTATATTTTTAAAGTTTTAATTTCCATAAATGTCTTGATGTTATCTACTGTGGATCAAGAAGCTCTATTTCTTCATCTTCTATTTCAGTAATCCTGAAATTAAAAAAGTTTTATTTACCAAAAAAAAATGAAATTTTAAGAATTAGATAAAATGTTATTTTGTCAAGCACAACTTTTTGAAACAAGGTAAAATGTCAACTTATTGGTTAAAGCCCAAACCTTTAATGTAAGACTTAAAGGGAGTGACCGGCTATGTAAGGTAGTTGAATATGCAGTGTTGTGGAAAATTTCTTTCGGATTCATTTGAGACATATTAAACTTTTTAAAGATCTGTAAATCCTGAGTTTGAGCGCAAATTCGATGTTCAAAACTCCTACTTTGGGGGTGGATACGTTTTCAGAATTTTTTCAGAACTACATGTTGAGAAAATAAAAATTAATCTTTTCATCGAAAATAAGTAATTTTGTTCAATTATTAGTTTCGATTATCTCATTACTCTGGTTCCTCATTATTCAAAAAGATTTTCGCAGCTTTTCTAAAATTATTATTAGAAGACGACATTTGAAGAATTTGAAGAAATCTGCGAATAAATTCAACGAAAATTAGAAACTCAATAAAATAATGAAAACTAAATAATCGATTTTAGCAATTATTTATTGACAAATTTCTTTTGAGAAATATGTTCCTAACAATCTAATTAGATTACTGTATAATTTTTACTTTATTTTTCGTTGTCGTTATTTAAAAATAAAAATAAAACTAATTCTGAAAACGTATCCACCCACAAAGTAGGAGTTTTAAACGTCGAATTTCCGCTCAAACTGGAAACGTTAAAAATGATGTAACGTATTTTAAAATCCTACATCTTGGCAATCATAGGTGTTTGATATCTTAAACTTTGACTATTTAATTTAGCAGCCATTTACAGTTTGTAACATAAAAGGTCTAGAATATAAAACTAGTTGTAAAGATATAAATTTAGTTAGATGAGAAAAATCTTTTTTCTTTTCTCTAAATACCTTGGTTCGTTCCCTTCCTGTTCACTGAGCCCAGCCTTTGCCCTAAAACAGGTTTATATTAGAAATAAAGAAATTGTATTAATTGTAATATAAGAATTGTAAGCCTACAGGGTTATTCACAAAGGGTGAGACTGTAAAGACGACCTGAATCTCTTTTTATGGCCTATTTAAGTTTACAGTTGCAGGGGATCATGAATGTAAGGGAACAGAAATCTAAATTCCGTACAGTCGTCTCTGAAGTCTCATCATTTGTGGGTAACCCTGTTCTTTTAAGTACCCCCCTTTGTTAAGTGGTATTCCAAGTCACATTGACAAGTGTATTCGTTAATGGGCAAATAAGGGAAATGAGAAGAAGATATCTCACAGAATCTTATAATTTTCCATAATCATCACTTTATAAAAGTAACTAGCGGATCTATATAGTACAGACTAGGGTTTCCAGCGAACGAAAACTTTTGCGAAAAAATGTAAAAATTATCGGCTGTTTTTCGCATTTTATCGCAAAATTTCTCGTTTTTTCGCGATAATAAATTAGGCGGGAAATGAGAAAGCAATGCGAAATTTCCCGAAGAAAACCGCGAAAATCATAGTGTTGCAGTTGCATGAACAACTAATTGCACAAAAAAACGTGTGGAATTCTCTGCTCTGCATTTTTTACCCCAAAATTTTCGTTCGTTTGCTCGTGAAACTTACGCATTTTTTTTTGCGAAACAGAAAAAAGCAAAATTTTTCAAAAAAGTGAAATTTTTGCGAGCGAACGAATTGCGAAAAAATGCAAAATTTTCGCAAAACAAATTACTCTTTTCGATGGAAATTGGACATTTAGCTAAAGTATTAAATTGTACCAATGTTAAATGGATATTTACTCAGCTAAAGGATTAAATGGCACCAATGTGACTTGGATATTTACTCAGCTAAATGATTAAATGGTACCAATGTGAATTGGGTATTTACTCAGCTAAATGATTAAATGGTACCAATGTGAATTGGATATTTACTCAGATAAAGGATTAAATGGTATCAATGTGAATTGGACATTTACTCAGCTAAAGTATTAAATTGTACCAATGTGAAATGGATATTTACTCAGCTAAAGGATTAAATGGTACCAATGTGAATTGGATATTTACTCAGCTAAAGGAATAAATGGTACCAATGTGAATTGGGTATTTACTCAGCTAAAGGAATAAATGGTACCAATGTAAATTGGATATTTACTCAGCTAAAGGATTAAATGGTACCAATGTGAATTGGACATTTACTCAGCTAAATGATTAAATGGTACCAATGTGAATTGGACATTTACTCAGCTTAAGGATTAAATGGTACCAATGTGAATGGGATATTTATTCAGCTAAAGGATTAAATGGTATCAATGTGAATTGGACATTTACTCAGCTAAAGTATTAAATTGTACCAATGTGAAATGGATATTTACTCAGCTAAAGGAATAAATGGTACCAATGTGAATTGGGTATTTACTCAGCTAAAGGAATAAATGGTACCAATGTGAATTGGACATTTACTCAGCTAAATGATTAAATGGTACCAATGTGAATTGGACATTTACTCAGCTAAATGATTAAATGGTACCAATGTGAATGGGATATTTACTCAGCTAAAGGATTAAATGGTACCAATGTGAATTGGACATTTACTCAGCTAAAGGATTAAATGGTACCAATGTGAATTGGGTATTTACTCAGCTAAATGATTAAATGGTACCAATGTGAATTGGATATTTATTCAGCTAAATGATTAAATGGTACCAATGTGAATTGGACATTTACTCAGCTAAATGATTAAATGGTACCAATGTGAATTGGGTATTTATTCAGCTAAATGATTAAATGGTACCAATGTGAATTGGATATTTATTCAGCTAAATGATTAAATGGTACCAATGTGAATTGGATATTTACTCAGCTAAAGTATTAAATTGTACCAATGTGAAATGGATATTTACTCAGCTAAATGATTAAATGGTACCAATGTGAATGGGATATTTACTCAGCTAAAGGATTAAATGGTACCAATGTAAATTGGATATTTACTCAGCTAAAGAATTAAATGGTAACCAATTTGAATTGGTATTTACTCAGCTAAAGGATGTAATGGTACCAATGTGAATTGGACATTTACTCAGCTGAAGGATTAAATGGTACCAATGTGAATTGGACATTTACTCAGCAGAAGGATTAAATGGTACCAATTTGAATTGGATATTTACTCAGCTAAAGGATGTAATGGTACCAATGTGAATTGGACATTTACTCAGCTAAAGGATGTAATGGTACCAATGTGAATTGGACATTTACTCAGCTGAAGGGTTAAATGGTACCAATGTGAATTGGACATGAAAATCTTTAAATGGAGTCTCACTTCAATCCCTTCAAGAACAAGAATCAAAATGTTTTACTTTGCATATTTGACAGAAGCTTCCTCAGTGAGTAAATCTTCTGAAAGATATTCCTCAGGCATTGTTGATAGATCTACACCAACCTTCAAATATAAAAAGAAATAATACAATTTTTAATTGTTTGCCGCAGCTGTCTGTACACCAACTTCACTTTTTTGCCATATCAATCAATAAATAAGTTCAGCAGACTGAAAAAAACCACCATAAAACGTTTTATGTCGTTCAGTGTATTCTGTGAAAAAACACCAAATCGAAATCAAATAGCTGTTCTCTCATATACAAAGCTAAGCAATAAGCTAATATTTTTCAATGAGATAAATAATTTTCTTTTAAACCAAATATATGTAATGTGATATTGATTTCAAGATTATGTCAAGTCGCCTTGAATATAGTCTTATCTGGCTTATAAAATGATTTTTCAAAGAAAGAAACGAGTTTAAATTTTCAGAAAATCGTAAATAGCAGAAAACAAGTTCAGATTGAATTCCGTGCAGTCGTCTATGAAATTTTACCCTTTCCCGGTAACTCTGTGTATCAACATAATCAATCACACATTACTTAAAACTCCATTTTTTAACCAATTATTGAATAAGAAAAATGTACTACCAGGTCGGGTACTTGAAGCTGAGAAAATAATATTACCGGGTCTGGTACATTAAGCTAAGATTATAATAATTCCGGGTCTGGTACTGGTACATTAAGCTTAGATTATAATATTACCGGGTCAGGTACATTAAGCTAAGATTATAATATTACCGGGTCTGGTACATTTAGCTCCTCTGAGTCTGGTAATGGTATTCTGTACCCCTGCAGTTCATACTGTCTATCTATATACCTAAAAAGAATATATTTCAACTTTTGATTCGATTCTCAAATAGAATTTTGTTTAAATACTATTTATTATTAGCAAAATATTATGGAAATATTTACTTTTACTAAAACTATAGTGAAAGAGCTTTACTATACAGATTTACCTTTGGATCGCTGTATCGTCTCCGCGCTTTATTTTACGCATATGATGAATCCACACAACACGGTACCACTCAGGAGATTTAGCTAGACACATCTTAAAAATAGGAGATTAAGCTAGAGTCATCTTAAATATAAGAGATTTAGCTAGAGTCATCTTAAATATTTGAGATTCAGCTAGAGTTTTCTTAAATATAAGAGATTTAGCTAGAAATATATCAATTATTAAATATTGGAGATTTAGCTGGAGTCAACTTAAATATAAAAGATTTAACTAGAGTCATCTAAATTACAAAATATTTAGCTAGAGTCATCTTAAATAAAACACACTTCCTTGAAATTTAGAATTGAGCTAAATTGTTCTTAAAAATAGTTATATTTTGACTTTTTAAATTCTCATGGTTTGTTGTTAAATAAAAAAAATGATGGTTTAACATTTCAATGGTTGATAGTAAGCGAGGGGGGGGGAGGGAGAGACGTTTACCCCTCTCACAAGCCAAAATATTTCTCTTAACACCATATGATTATTATAATACCTGGTAGTTTACTAAAATTTCTTCATCTTTCTTGATTGGTTTCTGAGCAGTCAGGGAGCGAATTAAACCAAACCTATAAGAAACCAATCATTACAGTTCCGCCTGTTCTGTTGCATAAAACGTGCTGCAGGTCAACCAATAACCAGATCCTGGGTACACTAGACGAGCCTGTACGAGTAAACACTACTCCAGAGAATCCTTGTTCTGGTTCGGATCATGCGTTATCTATAGAAGGTTTCAAACCTTTCAGATATACTACTTCCATGCAAAATTACCTAATTCTTTGCAGTTTCTGAGATTGTTAATTTTCAAATCAAGAAGGTATTATAAGCTAAGACTAGCTCTGTTATTTTTTTCCCATTTTCATCCAAGTTTAGGTCTCTTGTTTAAGCTGATCACGGTGGCACAAGAGAATTAGTTGAACCATCCGTAGGCAAAACAATACATGTATTGTCTGTGCAAGCAAAGAAATAGAGTTTTGCAAACAAAATTAAAATAGAATATTAAACTTTACCTCGGGTGCTCATATAGAATATTAAACTTTACCTCGGGTGCTCATATAGAATATTAAACTTTACCTCGGGTGCTCATATAGAATATTAAACTTTACCTCGGGTGCTCATATAGAATATTAAACTTTACCTCGGGTGCTCATATAGAATATTAAACTTTACCTCGGGTGCTCATATAGAATATTAAACTTTACCTCGGGTGCTCAAATAGAATATTAAACTTTACCTCGGGTGCTCATATAGAGTCCATTCAACGTTAGGAAGAAATGTATGGTTCGCCTAAACATTATTATGAAATTAACACAAAACTGTGTATTTTTATGTTAATGTAATAAAGTTTTATCATAACTTTGTCCAGTGATCAATACTTATGTTTGATAAAGCGCTATTTTACAACATCTCAATATCCCCAATGGCAACGTTTAAATATGATAACTTGACTGCACACCTAGGTTATTTAAGCGACAGTAAGTTAATCTTTCGGACGACAAAAGTTACGCATAAATACTTGTTCATGGGAATTATAAGTTTCCATCACAAACGTGTTAACATGGGGTTCGATTTTCATACCTTGTGGGCTGATGTGGCACAGTATTGATCTATATAGTGTGGTATTATATACCTTGTGGGCTGATGTGGCACGGTATTTACTTATATAGTGTGGTAATATTTACCTTGTGGTCTAATGTTGCATCAGTATTGATCTATATGGTGTGTGAGTGGGCTAATGTAGCACAGTATTGATCTATATAGTATAGTAATATATACCTTGTGGGCTAATGTGGCACAGTATTGATCTATGGTATGGTATCCGAATGGAATATCCATATCAATATCTCCATTTAATCTTAAAATCAAAAAAGTTCTATTTATTTTGATAAACTTAAAAATGAACTATGAAGAATTTTACTAAATTAAATATATTGAATTTTTTCAAAAAGATTGCCCTTAGGCCGAATTTAAAGAATTTAAGCCACGGTTTAGATTTAAGCCGCGGTTTAATTATGGTTGGTTTCACTTAAAATTGTATCAAATGTTTCAAGATTTTAGCCGGCGCTCAAATTAAACCGGGTTTTGGCGGATTTAAGCCGCGACTTAAATTCTTTAAATTAGGCCTCTGAAGTTAGAACTTTTGTGTTTATTTTCGTTTATTCAGATTATTTTAAATCCTGTATCCCGAGGCCGAATTTAAAGAATTTAAGTCGCGGCTTAACGCGGCTTAAATTTAAACCGCGGCACAAATTCTTTAAATTCGGCCTCTGTAGAAATAAATTCAATTTAGGGATCAATGATTAATCCTCATATTATGTGATCACATTGGGTTAAAGATTAATGTTAATAATCTACACACAAATTCAGATCTCAGGTTTTAAAGCAATTTGCTTTTAATAATTATATTGTTTAAAAAAGTTCAAAAACAAATTTGTTCTACTTAAAGATATAAAATGATTTTCCTTATTCTATAATCTGATCGGGGCATATGTTCACTAGCATAAGTGCAGGTCTTTATCTAAAGATAAATTTAGAATTAGATTTAAAATGATATTCAAAGAGACCGTAAATGTTCATATTCCTTTGATATAAAGTCAGATTCACAACAGTACTGTTAAAAGTTTTTAATGCTTAGGTATGGCTTGTATACCTATGTTTTTGTTTTTTCAATATTTTCAATTGTGGCTTTTATACCAAGGAACCTTGTGCATTTCTTGCTTCAAAAATAATGGAGAAATGATTACAGGAATTGAGTCTTTGCCACCACTCAAATTTTGTAATCCCTATATCTTTGCAACTTTCAAACTTCAAACTATTTTTTCAAACAGAAGGAGTACGACATGGGGTTGCAAAGATAGAGGGATTATAAAATCAAAGCCTGTGGCAAATACAGAATTCCTTTAAACAAAAAGCAAGAATCTTCCATATTATTTCTCAGAATAAGGTTTCAAGAACACCGTTGTGAATCGTACGTGTCACAGTTTTTAAATGAAGAGTCACTTAAAATTAACAATATGGTAGTGATGGTAGTGATGGTAGTAATGGTAGTGATGGTAGTGATGGTAGTGATGGTACCCATACCTTTATTCCATTGTATAGAGCAACAATCTCTCTGTGTTCAATATCTTTCTTTGCAAAAAGTCCCTCTCCACCTTAATTAATAATATTTAAAAATGGAAAAATTATATTGATCAAATTTCAAAAAAAAGTTTGCTCTCAGAGAAACAACAGGAAATGTATTACATATTATATTTTTATTTAAAAATTGTATTAACATTTATAAAAAAAGTTGTTTATTTATTTATTATAGTTTAAACAATTCAATTAATTATTACAGTGTGCAGGACAATTCAAACTTTTTGATCTAACAAAATTCATAGTTTGAAATATTTAAGTTTTATGAAATTTGGTTGCTATGATAAAGGTAATACAAAATTAGAGTGTATGGCAAAAAAACATTTACTTTCGTTGATCATGTTTATTTTTCAAGTTGATTATTATTTTTTTTTTTGTGAGGGGGATGTTTCTAGACTCTTACCTTGTGGTAGATTAGATACTTTAACATAAACCTTAGTATCCTCCCAGGGATCCCTGAACAAATAGTTTTTTACAATTTAACTTTTTTGTCATAGGTTAATATTTTTTACATTTTTATACATTTCACATTTTTGTTATAATGTCTGAACTGAAGTGGGTTCAGATATTTTAACTTAATTAAGATAACAATTATAATATTATTAATAATGATGATGACAGTGATAATTGCAATAATAATGTTCTAAGTACGTATAGTTATTATTTATGACGATAATAATATTGAAAACTAGCTTGGGAGCCAAGCTTTGCCTGGAAGCAAATTTTTCTGTACAAGAGTCAACCTAGATTCAACTAAGAATTCTTAGACCTAGCTGAGAGCATTCCCACGTGGTTCTCCCAAGTTCCCCAACCAAATTTGAGGCAAATCAGTTAAGGGGTTTCTTAGTTATGATCTGACAGAAGAACAAACAAACATAGATTACTACTTTATAAATATAAATAATATATGAATGAAATATTAACATAACAATAATAATAATAATAAAAGAAGTATAATTAATTATAAATCGATAACACCGCTACACATGTTTACAAAGAACAATTCACAAACTTATATATAAAATAGTAATCTGTGTTTTTCTGTTTGTCTGTTTGTATGTCCGATCTTATCTGAGAAAACACATTGACTGATTTGCCTCAAATATTGACTGAGAGAAACTCGGTAGAACCGTGTTGGGATGTTCCTAAATATTGGTTTAAAATGTCTAAATTAAATGGGTTTAAAGAACATTTTTTTCAGATTTTCCTGGGTTCCCAAGCTTATATGTGTATATAAAGTAGTAATCTATGTTTGTCTGCTTATATGTCCCAAGGATGTAATGCAAGGAAAGTTATTTCAGAAGTGTACGCATCTTTTGTACTGCAGTGTATTGTGTTTGGGCGGTAATGTAAACTCAAGACGGATGTTACAGCCTGACATGGGATCCATCTTTCACATAAAAAAACCAATGAAATATTCTGGTCATAGGAAAATATTATGTAAATTATCAAAATTATCAAATTTAATGCTATTAACCTCCTCGGATACAAAAAGATCACTGATGCATCCATTCTTGTTTACTAATTCCGCCCAAAGAGAACTGGTTTCAATTTGTACGCAGAGTATACGCGACCGCAATTAACTTTCCTTGCATTACATTCTTGATATGTCCGGTCATAACGCATAAGCCGCCTGACATGCCTTACATTTTTATTAAAGAACTCTTAGCTTGATTTGAATATTTTAAGATGATTAAGTCAACTTTCATTATTAACATTTAGTTTCCCTGGGTAAAGCTGGGTTCCCAAGCTAGTATTTTCAATAAGATTAAATGTAAAGTTTCTAACGAAAAGTAATTATGAATTCATGAACAAGTTCAGCTACAGATTATTCACAAGTGTTCCTATGTATAACCTGTAAATATATATTTATATAAAAGCAGGATTATAAAAGATACGTCAAGTAATTACATCCAACTGTCCACTATTTAGAAGATTTCATTTAAATTTTTTCAAAAATACTTTTTAAAATAATGAAATTTTTCAATCCCAAGGTAAAGAGAACCAATCAAAATTCTGATATTGATTAAAAATTCGCGGAAAGGAATTGGGTCTTTGCCACAAACTCTGAATTTATAATCCCTATATCTTTAGAACCCATTGTCGTAAATCTTTGATATTTCAAACCTATATTATTTGATCTAACAGAATTCAAAGTTTGAAATATCTAAGGTCTACAACATTGGATTCCAAAGATAAAGGGTTTAGAAAAGCAGAGTTTGTGGCAAAGACTCAATTCCTTAGATTTGCCAAGTTTTGCAAAGAATGAGGTAGTTGAACTACGTACGGCTAGTTCAACTACTGGATCAAGTTCAGTTAATTGTGCATGAGGGAAAAAAAGCTATTTTAGAAAGGTTCATTTACTTTTTCTTTTTCCTAAATTTTCATTTTCAGTATTTAAAAAAAAATAGAAAAAATTGTAATAACAATTTGTAAATAGCGACAACAAAAAATGACGAAAAAGTGAAAATGACAAAAAACGTAAAAATGGTACAACAGATGTATGACTTGTAAAATGTAAGACGGTAACCTGAGTAGTGGATGCAGTGCTATATTCTTTATTGTAGGATTTTCATACTCATACACGGTACCGGAACCTTCACTAGAAATATTTAAAAAAATGTATTTTTAATGAAAATTGTTTTAACTAAAGGGACTGTACAATCGTAATTTCAATTCATAACATCCTCTTCACACCGCTTGATCTGAGAAACAATAAAGAAAATATCGTTGTTTCTCTATTAAAAAAAGAGTCGAATTATGTCAATTTTATTTCTTCTCCCTAACACATAAATCCGCATTTTAAAGAGAAACTACAATTAAAAACGATCAATTTTCAGATTAAAAAACGAAATTATTTTGAAATGTTCATCAGATGAATGTTTATCAAGAATTCAGAACAAAAAACGTGGATTGGAAATGAAACAGTGTGCGTGGGGGAAGCCAGATATTCTAGAGATCTTTCCAAATTAGATCACGTGATCACAAAAAGTAATTTGATTTGAATAATCGTCTAAGCTTTGTAATTTGAATATTCTGAATCAGTTATACAGGGTTAACCAAAAGGATAAGACTTTTAAAGTGACTGTTAATGTTTTAGAATCAATCATATAAACTTGTCATGACTCACACAGGCAAATAATCTGTCAACATCCGAATCACTGACATAGGTGATAGAATCTCATAAAACTTTGAATGAATTTGAGAAAACTTTGATCGAATCTTATAAAAATTTGATATGATCTAATAAAATTTTGATAGTATCTAATAAAACTTTTATATGATCTAATAAAACTTTGATAATATCTAATAAAACTTTGATATAATCTTATACAACTTTGATAGAAATTCATAAAACTTTGATAAATCTTTGATATAAATTCTTAAATTGCATTTGATAAAATATTGACTGAATCTCATGTTTACCTGAAAACTGGAAACTTTATTCCATTCTTTTCATCAACTCCTATTATCTGACACAACTGGCCTCGAACTAAAATAAACATTGAAAAATAAAATCTGTAGTTTTTTAATTTAGTTCTCAGTTCGGATTTAAAGTAAAGCAATTAAGAACTTGGTTACGACTCTACTCTTAATTAAATATACTTCTATATTTTATTGAGGCCCAAAGGGCCACTGCAGTTGCTGCACTGAAGAGATAATTTAAATTTAAAGATTTAAAAATACCTACCTGAGATATAAAGATCAAGATTAAAAATATCAAGTGGTCAAAATTAAAGAGATGACAAGATTAAGCAATCAAGATCACCGAGATTAAGTGTACAAGATTAACAAGATCAAACCTTCAAGAATAACACAGTCAAGCTTTCGAGATTATTGAGATCAAGTGTTCAAGATTNCAAACGTTCAAGAATAACACAGTCAAGCTTTCGAGATTATTGAGATCAAGTGTTCAAGATTAACAAGATAAAGCTTTCAAGATTAACAAGATCAAACGTTCAAGATTAAAAAGACCAAGTGTTCAAGATTACCAAGATCAAGCGTTCAAGATTAATAAAATCAAGTGTTCAAGATTAACGAGATCAAGTGTTCAAGATTAAAAAGATCAAGTGTTCAAGATAAACAAGATAAAGCTTTCTTGATTAACATGATTAAGCGTTCAAGTTAACATGATCAATCGTTCAAGATTAACATGATTAAGCGTTCAAGATCAACGAGAAGTGTTCAAGATTAATAAAATCAAGCGTTCAAGATTAACAAGACTAAGCGTTTAAGATTAACAAGATCAAGTGTTCAATATTATCCAGATCAAGTGTACAAGATAAACAAGATCAAGCGATCAATATTATGAAATCAAGCCTTCAAGATTAATATAATCAAACGTTCAAGATTCACAAGATCAAGTGTTCAAGATTAACAATATTTAGCGTTCAAGATTAAGATTTCCGATCTCTGATCTCTAAGTTTTATTTTTTATCAAAAAGTATTATTTTAGAAAATAATGAGCTTTACAGTTTTGAAATAACTAGATTTTTCCAGCTGAAGCAGTCGGCAAACTTGGCATTCGGTTTAATAAAGAAAATGAAATCAGTTTTAAAAAACAGCTAGATTTTTCCAGAATAGGTACATTTGTAAAAATCGAAGAAAACATTCAAAATTTGAATTCTGTTGAAGTTCTAATCACTTACTGGAGTTTACCATTTCCTAATCTTTAACTTTAAACTTTTCAATGATTAAATTTTTTAGAACACCTCATCATCTGAATGCGTTAAAAAGAAAGCAAATATTAAATGTTGAGATCTACTTAAAACGTTAACTTGCCGTTTTAGAAAAAAATATAAAAACTAACCTAATTTTTCATTTTTGAATTCTCCTCTTATAACCATCTTCATATCAGGGTAAATATACGCAATATTGGGCCCTACAATAAGAAATTATTAAAAAATCAGAATTGAATAAAAATTATTAAAAATAAAAATACTTTTGAAAAGGATTGTTTTGATTTGAGTATCGAGAGAGTAATATAGGAATTGTCGAATTCGTATAAAAAATAAGATATGCAGGGTGTCTCTGAAAAAAGTGTGTTAAGGATTTTTAGCATCACTGTTATTATGTTAAAAAATGATCCTTTAAGGTACAATCCCCATTCATGTGTGGGTGTCGATCAAACATTTTTATCTAAAATGCCGTTTAACCTTCAAAATTTCTTCGGAAATGGGACCGAGCACATTTTCGAATAAATATTAATTGCTTTTTCATCCACTAAACGTCGTTTTATTCTACTAAACATAATTCAATACCCATTAAATGGGGAGTTGTCGTTGAAACATTTTACTCTAAAATGCCGCTTTAGCCTTCAAAATGTACTCAAAATATAGTCAGTCCCCTTTTCCAAAGATTTTCAAAAAAAAGGAAAAATTTGTTTGTTAATGATTTTTTAGAAAATTTCAATTCTATCAGTAAAATGCGCAATTTATTCTATTCTGTCGTATAAAACGTAAAGATAGAATTATAATCTATTTTTTTAAAAATCTTTTGAAAAGAGATCGAGCACATTTTCGAATATTATGTCTACTTTTGAAGATTAAAACGGTATTTTAGAGAAGTATACCTATTACATACTTACTACAAGCCCTTTTTAACACATTACTAAGATGTATAGAAGGCTAAAATGCCTAAACACATTTTTTTTCAGAGATACCCTATTTATTACATGTTTTCAAGTGCATTGGCTTTCTTTCTTGCAAGTTTTTTATTTGAAAAATTATTTATCAAAAGTTAAAGATTGTTTTACATTTGCTTGAATTGAAAATTATTAAAAGGGTTTTACATATAGATGGCGATCAGCAAGTATAGTATTAAAAGAATTGACAAAAAATTAAGCAGATATCTAAAAAAATGAACAATTACAAAGAATACTTTAAAAAACTGCGTAAGCGGGATTTCAAGTTAGCCTTTATGCAAAGATGTCAATGCCCAATCTACAACGGTATCCTTAAAAGCTTCGTCTTATCAAATTAGTAAAAGTAAAAACTTGTGCATTTCTTGTTTATAAGAAACAATGGAAAAATTCAAAGAAATAAACCCTTCTTAAGTCAGAAAACGATGTTATCATCCTCATGTCTAATAAAATTAAGGTTTGAAGGATACTGTTGTTAATCGGACATTGCTAGCTTTGCATGGAAGGCCATTTTAAATTACGATTACAGTCCCTTTAAAACAAATATATACCTGTAAATTCTCCTTTCCCATCTACTTCACCAACCACCCAACCAGAATTATCATACATTCCCTACAACCCAATTTAGTTATTTTAAGGAGAATTAAACATTTGTATATATAAAACACTTTGTTTGTTTGTCCGTCCGTTTGTATTCAATAAACGTCAATATTACGTTATTCTTTTTTTCTAGAACAGTCCCTTTAAATCTCTTCGACATACCTTCCACCAGATTCCACGTTTTAATCCCTTGTAATGTCTTCCAACCATCCTGAAATTGAAGAAGTACGTTAAAGAACTTAAAACTGTAAAAGGACTTTTATCTTATTTTTCTAATTATCATAAATGATTAATACAAAAGTGTATAATGTTATGTTAATAGCATTCCCTTTATTTAATTGTTCTCTCTTATCATTGCTATCAGTGACAATTACAGGGCAATTGCCATCGCTATCAGTGACAATTACAGGGCAATTGCCATTGGCAGCAATTGATTATAAAATGGTTTGACTGGTTGATATTAATTCTCAACTCTGATAAGCTGACCACAGATGAACTTCAGTTTGGTTTTCAGAAGCTAGCCAGTACTACAATGTGCAGCTGGGGGGTCAACTCTGTAGTGGATTTTTATAACAGAGCTGGTAGAGCAGTTTATGCTTGTGCAATGGATCTGAGTAAGGCATTTGATCTTTTGTCATGGGAAGTGCTCTTCTCAGAGTTATTGGAGAGGGGTGTTTCACCTCTAGCATTAAGGTATTTAATGTTCATTTACTTAAATCAAAAATGTAATGTTAGATGGGGTAATGCGTTCTCAAATACCTTCAATGTACAAAATGGAGTCAGACAAGGAGCAGTTTCTTCCCCTGTGCTATTCTGTATATACATTAACAAAGTTATTAAGTTATTACGCTGTTCAACGATTGGATGCCAAATCCAGGGTGTCTATCTGGGTATATGCAGATGATATTATTCTGCTTTCTCCTAGCAGAACAGGTCTTCAGGAAATGGTGAAAATTTGTGAAAATTTTGCCAAAGCTACTAAACTGAAATTTAGTACAAATATTCGAATCGAAAAATGTAACACTAAATGCCTTATTTTTTCTTAAGAAATGACTAATTATAATGAAATAACCCCAATTTTATTGAATAAATTACCCTTACCATTTGTCAACGACTTAAAACATTTAGGAAATGTTCTGCAAAGTGATAATTCAATGACCATAGAATGCAATAAAAAAAGAGCTATTTTCATTTCAAAAATTCATACCCTTAACCAAGAATTTTATTTTAACAGTCCTGATGTTATTTTGAAACTGTATAATATTTACTGTTGTAGTTTTTATGGATCTAGTATTTGGGACTTGAGTTCCCAATGTGTTTCAAACTTGTATATAGCATTGAATACTGCTATTAGAATTCTTTTTAATGTACCTAGAGATACGCATAGGTACTTGATTGAAAGTATTTCACAATGTTTACATGTAAAAACTATGTTAGCTAGCAGGTGTGTGTCTTTCTATGAGACTATTGAAGCAAGTTCTAAGCTTTGCATTAGATTTCTTTATAATTTATGTAAAAATGACCGTAACACAGTTCTTGGCAGAAATTTATTTTCTATTGCAAATGATTGTTCTGTAAATCCTTCGGATCTTAGTAAAATGTTAGTTAAAAAACAAATGAAATATTTTGATGTTCCATTGGAACATGCATGGAAAGTTCCGGTTTTGCAAGAACTTTTAAATACAAGAATGAATAATTTATATGTTGAAGGATTCGATGATTATGCAATAACTGAAATGATATATATGTTATGTAATGAGTAATAATCAATGTTTATTTTCTGACATTTTCAAAAACACACAAAAAATTTGTAGTTGCTGATTTAATTTCTACATTTATTCATTTGTCAGTTGTTTTGTATCCAATAAACATCAAAAAGACTGAACCTATATTTTACGTACGTGGTAGTTCACATGGCCAGACAAATATTTGGTTTGGATAAAGTTAGATTTATCAACATTTTGGAAAGTTCGCAATTCAGAACAGAAATATCCGCAAAAATTTGCATTGTTAGTTTTTTTTACAATCTTCTAAAAATAGGGTTGCCATTACAGAAAGAAGAGCTAAATGTATGCATGAAAATGTTCACAAATTCGACACTAAGCTAAAAGTAAAAAATTCTTTGTTACAAAACTTCATCATTGACTACCAAATTGTAAAACAACAACCTGAGTATACTTTTCCCTGCACTTTTGGGACCAAATTCTCGACTAAATCCATGAGGCACACCGTCTCTGTAAACAAATAATGCTTCATGTTATTAAATTCTCGACTAAATCCATGAGGCACACCGTCTCTATAAACAAATAGTGCTTCATGTTATCAAATTCTCGACTAAATCCATGAGGCACACCATCTCTGTAAACAAATAATGCTTCATGTTATTAAATTCTGTTATTTTCTTGGTTTTGTTTAAATAAATTAAATGTCAGAAAGGCTGAACCTGATGCCAAGACATTCAGTATTTGCCATATATCTTTGCTACCCAAACTATGAGTTCTGTATGAGTTGAGTTTTGGTTTACACCAAAAAGTTGAACAGATAAATGTAATAGAAAATTTTGTTTTATGGCAAAAATTGTATTCCTTTACAAACTAGATTGGTTCAATTTCTTTATTGTGGAACCTTAGTGATTGCGGATTAAATTATTGATATAAATCAAAGGAGATTTGTTAGCACTAGGCGTTTTCAACCATTTTCTCCTTAAAGACGATTTACTATAAGTAAAATTAGTGCTATCTTATCCAAATTTGATTCAGTTTCAGCCTTCTACCTCTTTCATTTTTCACGTACACTCCCTTTAAATAATCTTTAAAGAAAAATGGTTTCTAATTCAAAAAAAAAAACAAAATTCTAAGACATAATATAATATTCAAATATAGTAAGAGAAATTTAAAAATTATTTAGTTTATATTCCTACTTGTAATATCCTTCTATCCAGCCTGTATTGATGATATTTGCTTTTATCTCTCCATTTAAGAATCCATTCTTCCATTCACCTTCAATCCTACACACAACACTTAATATAGTTTCCATTCAACAATCCATTCTTCCATTCACCTTCAATCCTACACACAACACTTGATATAGTTTCCATTCAACAATCCATTCTTCCCTTCACCTTCCATCCTACACACAACACTTAATATAGTTTCCATTCAGCAATCCATTCTTCCATTCACCTTCCATCCAACACACAACACATAATATATTTTCCATTCAACAATTCATTCTTCCATTCACCTTCCATCCTACACATAACACTTAATATAGTTTCCATTCAACAATTCATTCTTCCATTCACCTTCCATCCTACACACAACACTTAATATAGTTTCCATTCAACAATCCATTCTTCCATTCACCTTCCATCATGCACACACCACTTAATATAGTTTCCATTCAACAATCCATTCTTCCATTCACCTTCCATCCTACACACAACACTTAATATAGTTTCCATTCAACAATCCATTCTTCCATTCACCTTCCATCCTACATACACCATTTAATATAGTTTCCATTCAACAATCCTTTCTTCCATTCACCTTCCATCATGCACACACCACTTAATATAGTTTCCATTCAACAATCCATTCTTCCATTCACCTTCCATCCTAGACACAACACTTAATATAGTTCCATTCAAAAATCCATTCTTCCATTCACCTTCAATCCTACACACAACACTTAATATAGTTTCCATTCAACAATTCATTCTTCCATTCACCTTCCATCCTACACACAACACTTAATATAGTTCCATTCAAAAATCCATTCTTCCATTCACCTTCAATCCTACACACAACACTTAATATAGTTTCCATTCAACAATCCATTCTTCCATTCACCTTCCATCCTACACACAACACTAAATATAGTTCCATTTAAAAATCCATTCTTCCATTCACCTTCCATCCTACAAACACCATTTAATATAGTTTCCATTCAACAATTCTTTCTTCCATTCACCTTCCATCCTACACACAACACTTAATATAGTTCCATTCAAAAATCCATTCTTTCATTCACCTTCAATCCTACACACAACACTTAATATAGTTTCCATTCAACAATCCATTCTTCCATTCACCTTCCATCCTGCACACAACACTTAATATAGTTTCCATTCAATAATTGACAATGACAAAACTGCCAATTCAATTTGCTAAATCTAGTGTATTCTAATTCATGTTTGATTTAAATTTTTAAGATCTTTAAGTAAAATAAAACTTTGCCTTTCGATGCCATCAGGCCTTTGAGCAAACGTCATAACACCATTCCTAAAGAGAAAGCTTTTTTATGAATATTTAAAGTACAACATTATATCAAGGCACTGATACAGAACACTTATAAAACAAAAAAATCAGAAAAAGAATCATGCAATTTCAACTTCTGTTTTGCATTTCAGAGGGAATGAGTTTTTGCAACAAAATCCCTATATCTCTGAAACCCGAATTCGAGACCTTAAATAAAAGTGGCTATTCACTTTAGCTCTTGATCGAAACCCATGAAAGTTATATCTGATGTTCCTGTTTCAAGAAATGGATATAAAACTGTGTCAAATTTATGCGAAAATTCATATATATGTTATTTTGTATAAAAATAGCAGGTTTAAACAGCAAATATACAACCAATCTGAAAACGAAGATATCACAGAGAAACCGAATTGTAACTTAGGTTTAATTTATTATTTTATTATTTTATTTTTATTTTTAATAGATATTATTTATAATAGCATTCATAAATTCGTTTTCGTTGACTGAACGAAATGTTCGCGAAATAGATTGAACGAAAGTTTGGAAACCCTATCCTCGAGACAGGAAAATCATAACTTTCATGGGTCGTAATAAAGAGTTAAAGTGATTAGCTTTCAGCCTATACCCACTTTTATTTTTCCTTTACAGTCCCTTTAAATGTTTCAAACTATGAATTTTGTTAGATCAAATATTCTAAGTTTGACAAATTACACCGTCGGGTTGCAATGATATAGGGATTTGAAAGTTAGGTTCTGTCGACGTAATTTTAAAAGTGGTATTTCCGATCCCCTAAAGTACTTTAATCTACAATGTTGATATTCCTTCCAGACTTCCTGGTTCTATACGTCGTATTTAAATGAAGTTTAACTCCACGACTTCTCTTTGGTTGGTTATTTATATATGCAGTTTTTTATTAAAGGAACTTACGAATTTCCTTCTACTACAGGAACAATGGGGAAATTGTGAGAATTACACACTTTTTTAGCTATAAAGTAAGGTCTAAACTAGGGTACCGTTGTGAATCGAAAAAATCACTATTCAAATGGAGGGTCACTTTAATTATCTATGAGACAGTTTTTAAAACGATTATTATTATTTTTTTAATTCAGTTTAACTCGTTTAGAAAAGTTTAATTTTCCATATTATTTGTTGGTGTTACCTGTTCTTAAGTCCATCCAGGAATATTCCCTGGAACGTATCTCTATTCTCGTATAGGAGACCTCCTTCCCCTGTAGGTGTTCCATTTAGATCCCTTTTACCATGGAACCTTAGAATTAACATTTATAAACATCACGGTAAATTAGAGTTCCTGGTTATTATACATCAGTTAGTCATAACTTTGGAACCCATTTTATCTATTAAATGAAGATTTTTCTATCTTACGATTTTCTACTTTTTGTTAGACTAAATAATTTGAATAATTAAGTATTTAAAGTTGTTCACGATATATTTGATGGATTTTGAATTGGAGTTTAAACAAAATTGACTGGAAATATTTGATAAATATTGTATTTATCTATATTAATATTAAAGAGTGTTATTATGGACCGCGTTGGGGTGTTTGTTATACTGATGTGTGGTGTGTTAAACTATTGTTGTACTGTTATGTACTTGCTATGCGATTATGTATTGTGCTATTATGGACAGAATTGTACTGTTATGAATTGTATTGTTCTTTTTTATGAACTGTGTAATCTATATATAAATTTGGCTTGTCTGTCTGTTTGTTTGTTTGTTTGGGTGTCTGTCTGTTTGTATCCAACAATCAAAACGGCTGAACCGATCGGGCCCAAATTTTTGTGGGACATCTGGGGACTCAGGGAAGGATTATGAATGATCAAAATTTCAAATATTTGTCTCCATCAAAATTCGATCGTCATTAAATTTTTTAAAATTTTGAAAATCCACGACATTTTTTGTGAAAATCCGCGAATTATTTTTGTTTTGTTTTACGATGTAAACAAAGAGAACATGTTCACAATTAATTTAGAGGATGGGCGCGAAGCTCCCTCTAAGGCTAGTGTATTATACTGTCATTAACTATATGTTGTTACTATTATTTATTGTACTTTTTTATTGTATTTATTGTATTTATTATACTTTTATGTGCGGACTTCGGAGTTACAATATTATGATTGCAAATATATACGTCCTTTGTAATATATCTTCTTGCATAATTAAATGCAATTAATTATTGCACAATTCCTTTCAACAACAAAAAATTCAATTTAAACTTTGGTAGTGGCATACAATTAACTGAACTTCACTATCATTTCAATCTCAAATGTTAAGAATATTGAATTTAAACTTAATCTTTTTTATACTATTCATGTGCAGCATCATAACCAGACAAACCTAGCATAGGAAGACTCAAGCAGACCAATGTATTTGGAAAAGGGATTTATTAAGTTAAAAATTAATTTTGTTTGACTTGTAACATCAAATACACTGTGATGTTGTCTTTCTGTTCCATAGTTTTCTGGTTCTCACTGTAGCAACATATCTAATTTTGATTACCTTACAAGTTTAACCAAAAAGTGTCCATTTTAATGTTTATTCAATGTTAACAAATGAAAAATGTATCACATTAAATTGTTAATTAGTAGCTTAACCACAAGACCCTTTAAAATTTGAAAACTGTTAAAACAAGTGACACTCGGGCCTCGATTATTTTAAAATCAACAGAGATATTTAATTCCGTTCTTGTATCTGCTGCATAAATGTGTAAGTCGAACAGTTAAAATTATTGAATTTTAGAAATGAAAAGCAATTCCGATGCACGCAATTCCGCGCAATTCCCCACAATTCCGCGCAACTCCGTGGATATTTCATTGCTTCCTTTTCGCAATTATAGCGCAATTGCGCGCAATGAAATAATGCAAGCGGAAGCAACCATTGCAAGCAATTACGCGCAATTACGTGCAATTCTGCGCAACGAAATTTCGATTGGTAACCCTAATTATATCATTTACGAAACTGTAATATTATTGTATTATTGCATATGAAAGAAAATGAATCAAAGCAACTACTCATTTGATTGAATATTCGACGAGTCGGTTTTTCTTACAATTTATTATTATTTACAACGATACAAAAACTAAAGGAAAATACTATACGAATCAAATAGTATGAATTGAGAATGTTTCAGAGTGAGGGGAGATCTCCAGGGGAACCTATTAACTAGGGAGCTGGTCTTCAACTGCCATTTTTCCCCAAATTTCATTCCACCCTCGACTAGAGCTTAACCCTAGTTCCCCGGGAGCTGGCCGGCCATCCCACCAGCACCCGGGCCCCTGGAATAACGGAACTATTGGCGTGGCTTCGGTTTTCCGCGTGGCTTGGGTTATTTATAGAATTCACATATAAACACGAATAAAACCGTTAGGTCTATCCAAGGGATAGAGAAAGGGGGGGGGGATCCCCTAGGTAGCTATGATCTCAGCGATCTAAAAATCCTTGAATCGCTGATCGTAAAAGATCAACAAAATCACACATTGTTACAATACCATAATAACAATATCGTTCACAGATTTGTCGCAAAAAATAAGGCGATTCCTGGTCTTTATATTTCTTGGATAGACTTACCCTATATTGAAGAACGCATAATAAAATGAACATTAAACATTTTTTACCAATTTAACATCAAAGTCGTCATTTTCTTGTTTTTTAGGGCGCCGCCCTGATTATTCACACTTGCATTTAATTATTAGAAACAGTGTTTATCAGAAAGTAAGTTTCCTAAAAATGTCGAGTTGGGATAATCTAGTATCAGAGATATCAAAAGTTCAACTTCGTTTTGCATCCAAATACCTAAAAAATACCTTAAATGTT